ATATTTTAAAAAATGAATTCAGCATTGAAATTTTCCCGTAACAAGTCTAACGCTAATAGCCTCACGGTTTGGGGTACGGACTACCGATCTTGCGGGTTCGAATCCCATTCGACTGTTATCGTGAACCATATCCTAGCACAAGCCTAGAGCTTAGCTGGTATGGTCAAAAATGAGTAAATTAACAATAATCTACCAATATTAAAAAAATAAGTTTATACTTATTAGAAGCAGCATTAATAACGAATAAATTAGATGTATTAAGTCAATCCAAGTCCAAAAAATTAAAAATTATATAGTAAATATGTAAATGTTGTATTTCGTAGTTTAGCAACGGTGGAGGACGAGATGAAAGTGTGCTCGGATCTGATAATAAAGTTGGTGTGGTGCGTGTACCACGAGGAGGCGGAGCAGCAGCTCGCCTTCTACGTGGACTGCCGCGCCGCCTTCATCAAACTGGACGCCGTGCTCCAAGCCCTCGTACACGTTAGTTTGTTATAATACTCACGTTGACAAAAAAACATCTTTCAACTTTTCCAATAGCATTGATGTATAGTTTGGTAAACTTATCTGAAACGATATAAATGGATCAAACTAATTTACAATAGCTAATTTACATTAAAACCATCGAGTAAATATCAAAAATTATATTGTGGTACAAGATCCATCCGTTAATCTGAACTGTCAATCTGAAGGTTTCATACATTTTCTCCCCATGTTAACCGAGATAGAACATGTATTATTATTTATTTGTTGAAATCTATTGTTTCACATAAATATTTAATGTATGTTAGGAAGTCCAGCCAGGATTAAACACATAATTAGATTTTGCTGAAATTAAAAAAAAAAACTTAATTAGCATATGTGTTCTTTCATACTATGTTCTTATCTATGCCTAATTCATTCAAAATCATTTAATTCGTTAGGCTGTAAACTCTAACAAACATCCATTTATATATAGAGAAGTTCATTTTAATTTCTAACTACCAAGTATATTTGTAAAGGCGGTGAACGCGCTGTCGTGCCGGGCGGGGGGCGCGGTGGGCGTGGTGGGTGCGGTGGGTGTGGGTGCGGGGGGTCGCGGGGGGCGGTGGGTGTCGCGCGCGTGCGCCGCCTACTGCTGCGTGACGGCGCCGTCGCTGCGCTGCGTGCTGGCGCGCGCGCAGCTGTACCTGCTGAGCGGACAGACCGCGCTGCTCAACGGATGCATCGGACAGGGTGAACACTGCTCCACACTTGCCCACTACAGTTGGACAGTATCAATTACTGGATTGGCATAAGGTGAACCACTGTCCAACTGTAATAGCCAAGTGTGATCAATTATACGAATTGCACAAACAACTAAGAAAACCTTCTTAGCAATCTAAAATCAGGACTTTTAGGTTCTTTTATGAATTTCTGTATCAACATCATCACCTTTTATAAGCTAGACATTTTATTTTGTATCGAAAAAAAGTAGAAAAAGCAAACAAACATATCTGCTTCTGAAGGTTCTATAATTATTTGTTCATATTCCTTTCACCCTTTAGGAAAGGCTTCGAGCCCTCGCTGGGGATGTATAGTGAGCTAGTGATGATTGTTTTCAAATAATGTGTTATCTTTGATTACAGCTGAAGCTAATTTCAAAGCGTTAGTTGGGATAATACCTAACATCCCTCAATATATAAAAGAGGATGGACAGGATAAACCCACACACGACAGGCTGGCGGGTCTGCTCAGCAACTTTCTGTCTACATTGCTCATACTGCCTGTAAGATCATTACTATAAAATTCAAAACGCTCTATTAATAGTATACGTAAAAGGCCTAAAAGGCCGGCAGCGCATCTGCAGTTCCCTTGGCGTTGCGGATGTTCTTGGGCGTCGGATCACTTGATACCAAGCGATTCGTTGCTCGTTTGCCTGCTTTTTTCTATAAAATAAAATAAAATAAAAAAAAAACAAGTATATAATTATCAATCTCTTCTTTAACTTTGTTACTACCAATTTAAAGATATTCGATAATTATAAACAGTAGCTTAGTTTTAATGCTAAAAAACTCCCTATGTAATTTAAATACTAAAAACGGGATTTATTCAAGGTAAAAACAAAGTTTTATTGTAGGTTATTATTTGCAGGACAACGTGGACAGTAATCGTAAAGCGTACGTACTGAGTGGATTTATAAAAGTTTTAGAGAGAGTGCAGTGGAAGAAGACAGAGCCTCTATATTATAACTTATTACTTAAGACTCTGGACTTACTATGTCATATGACTAGAGAGAAATATATTTATACTATAGACTCTGGTATGTAAATTTCTAAGAATTTCTTCTATTTAATTGCATTCTCGATCTAATTTAGACTTCTTTACTAATATTTTAATGAGGAAAGAGTTGTATTTTTATATGAACTAAAATAAACCAAAAATTACTGGGTCGATTTAAAAAGCTATATCATTAGTAAGGCTATATATTTCTATTATTTTTTTTATGTTATGTGGACGAAGTCGCAAGCAACAGCTAGTCAAATATGTAGATGGAAAATAATTTTAATTTTTGCTAGGTTTTTTATTACGAAGTTTTTAAACGAATATTTACAGTGATATCGAACGACGAATTATACGGTTCCGAAGAAGAGTTTGTCGAATGCATTGAGAAATACGCAACACATATTTGCCAAGAAATATTGGTCGTGTTGAAAATGTTGGGAGATAATAAGGAGACGAAGAAACAATATAATTTAGCTCTGGAATTATTCTGGCGAGTGGTGAGACGAGGCGAGGTGAGCGACCCCGCCATGAGCAGCCTGGCCGCCAACCTGTGGATGTTGGCGCACAAACTGCAAGACTGTAATAAGTATGCGGTAAGAAACAATGAATTAAAGTGTTTTTCGATTTACTAATGTGCATTTAACCGATTTTCTTATGATGCAGGAAAATATCGTGATGCAACTTGCACATATCTGTGAAGTAATTCAAAGATGTGTTTAAAGTCAAAACGCAATGCGCCAGCGTGATTGATTATGGCGTGGTCATTTTAGGGTTAAGCTTAAAGATCCCCTTAGTGCGGACGCATAACGGGACGTAGAGTGTTACCAATTAGAAATTGGGTATTTTGATTGATTTTAATACTTTATTGTTACAGAAATCGATGCTAACAACTTTAGAGGCGGACAACAATCCTGCTGCAAGACAACTCCTAAATAAATTAACAAGCGTCTGAAACAACAAATACATTCCATTCGTGTATTATATCTATAATATAATTATAAGATCAATAAAATAATTATTTAATGTAAAACTATATATTTGTTTTATTTATTTTACTGCGAAACAAAATATGACTGCTTGATGCACAGTCATGTAGTTCTGTAGAATACCTCTACGGTTTGAAATAAATTGAAAAATCTGAGAAACAATCTAACTCGCGATTTGTCTGTGTATATGTGTTTTATCCAGTATTAAAATACCGTCTCGGATGTCGGCAACCTCCTGTTCCATATCCTTGACATTTCCTTATTACATTTTTATTACAACTGGAAAGATGCCAAAACATTGAAAGCTTGTCAATATAGAATACTAATAGCTCGTTCCAATTGAGGCTATCGATCGATATTCATGGAAAAAACTTCCTATTTGACTAGCTCAAGCCCAAGATTGCGAGGATGTACCTACAAATTGAGAGGAGAGAAAAATATCAGGGGGTACTGTAAACATCGAAAAAAATTGTTTAAAATAAACACTGGTCTAATACAACAGTTCTTGCGTTTTCGATTAATATTGATTGATGGTCGCCACAGTGAAATCATTGTTTTCACTGAGGGCGTAATTATGTAAAACAAAAGAGTTGCGTAAATTATCGGTTTCAAAACCTTTCTATTTTAAATTGATCTGTCGTTGCGAATGAACAAACGCTTCGTTACAGTTTTCTATTTTAATAAAAAACATTGAGTTGCTTTTATTAAATTAAACCATGGAATTCTTAAATAGATGTTTTTTCTTCAATTTTAATATTCTGACCGATTATTTCGGTTTCTTGGCAATTATTTGGTAAGTTTAGTAAACAAAAAAACAAAGAAATTCCCTTTAAAGCAACAAAAGCGCAGTCATTAGGCATTGTGCATGTAGTAACGAGGCGAATGGAGTCTAATAGAACCTGAAACTGCGAGTTTAATGCACTGATAAGGCTCTCAGGCATCCTTTCTTAAGTAAATGTCTTCAGTTGGAGAAAGTGGTAAGTTGTCAAGTAGTTAGTGTTGATTGCAGGTGGGTCGGCGGTCAGCAGTCGGGCGGCGGATGGGGCAAGCGGACATTGTCCGGCGACACGCTTCATCGCTGCCCGCGCTCGGTTGCACCGATCTTTCACCTGCGCAATATTGTTGCCTATAAAACCTTGTCATTGTCATAACATGACGTTACTTTCATCTCAAACCAAACCCGACAACCACTCGACTCGCCGAGGAGTTGCTTACTTTTAAATAATTTACTTGGGTGCAAACCCAACTTATAAAATGGCGTATTGTCTTAGACTGGTACAATTAGATTCTTATATTTATGTTTCAATATATTTGTACAAAATATAGTTGAATCATCTTCGTAAATAACGAAGCATTATTCCTGTTGCAGTTGATACTCTGGGTGGTGTGTGTTGGAGTTTATTCTAATGAAGAGAAAAGTGACACCGGATTTGTGCAGTCGTTGGATTTTGGACCGATATTCGATTCCGACGATTCGGGTAAATCATTATTTTTCGTATAAAATGGTTAATAAATGTTGTATGTAGTTAGTAACCTAGCTTACGTAGATGCTATTCTTCTTCTTTTTATTATTCATGTTTAAGACAGTACTTAAACACAACACGCATTCCGTATGTAAAATAATCGGCTTTTTTCAGGCATAGTTTCCTTGGCTTCGAACCCCGTATCCGCGGCAATAGCAAACGCTGATAAGAGTCAATACCCTAGATTGTTTGATTCTCTAGTTAGTAGTTCTATTGATTCATTGCACAGTCGTCTAGTGCCAAAAGAAAATGTGTTTTCCGCTTCAAACTTTGGCTTCAATCCTATCGCTAGTCAGAGTTTTTACCCTCAGCCGCAGTCAGCAAAACTAACAGTACAGCCCCAAAGATCACCGGTGCAATTGATAGCTCAAGGGCAACGAGCAAGTCCATTGAGATACGACATAAGGACGGTTCATGATGCAAATTATAAAGTGTTCAATCCCGAAGAAAATGAAGAAGGGGGAAACATTTTGGAAGCTCTGAAAAAAGATCCTTCGGTTGCTGCTTATTTTCAGCCTGCTGTTACTAATGTCGAAGTAGCACATCCGATACATTATCGCAAGGAGGAGCTAGTAGATAACCCCGATGTCGAATCAAACTACAAGGCACATCCTTATATTGCAGGACCATCCCGAATTCGGCGGTATGCAGGTGGAAGAAAAAAAGAAAGCGGAAGAAGAAGCAGCAACGAAGAAGATGAAGACCCTTATAATTATAAAGCGGAGTACATTTCCAGACCAAAGGCGTTCGATGAAAGTCCCTACAGCAGTGCCTATAAAGAAGAAAAAAATCCGAAAAAGGATTACGAGTACCCCTACAGTTATGATTCCGGTTATGATCACAAAGAATACGAAAGAATAAAGGAATTGTCTGAAAAGCAAGCTGCTGAAATTAAACAAAATCCTGGAAACTGCAAAGAAGTAAAGAAAGACACCATGACATGTATGTTATGTAAGGACCCAAAAACTGGTGGAAACTATGAATCGTGTTCGTATGTTGCCGAGCCGAAAAATAATAAATATGCTTATTCCAAAGAAAGGAAGTTTGACAGCAATGATGAACCAGATGCGCCCGAAAATACTCAAAAAGCAGAGAATCCAGGAAAATCCCAGAAACTTGTCGACGGCCAAAAGGACGGATCCAGCGTAAAAAATTACAGCGACGAAGAAAAACCATACGGTAATTATAAAAATGACGATGACAACTCCGGAAAGTATAAATCTTATTACGTGCATACATCGGCGCCCAAACCCAGCGAAGCTTTGAGAGCGGCTGAAAATCAAAACGAATCGGAAGAAAACAAAGAAAACAAGCCCTACGATTACAAGAAAGCGATACCTGGATTTTATACTGACAACGAACAAAAGAAGGACGTCGAAAATGTATTAGCAGAATTTAAGAAAAAAGATAGGTCAGCTTGTAAGAAAGTGCAAAAGAACGGCATGACTTGCTTCCAATGTATCGATAAAAATGGTTTAAAACACGAGGAATGTATGTTTGTGTCTGAATCAGCGCCGAAACAGAGTCATTTAGCGTATCAAGAGGTCAAAGAGTTTACTTCCAAACCCGCCACCCTCGAAGATGGAAACGAAGCGGCAGCGAGTCAAACTGTGACAAGCGCTCCGGCTAAGTCTGCAGCGTACGTTGTTGCCAACAGCGGCTATGGCAAAAAATTAAAGCACAAGAAAGCTTCGCAAGGCACTCTCGCCGC